GGGTCCAGCCTCCCGGTTCACAGAGGGAGAGTCCCAGGACCTGCAGGCCTCATAAAGAGGCCGTGGGGGGGGGGAGACAAGGTGACTCTAGACCCAGAGCAGTCAGTCCCGGGAGCCCCAAGGCACAGGGTGACCAGGAGCGGGTCCTCCAGTTCTGAGACCCTCGGGCGGCTCCGTGTCACGGCAGCGTCTCAGGTCGGCAGAGGGGGTCCGGGACCTGCCCGGCGTCAGTGTGGGGACCCTGCGGGAGACTGGGGGTCTGGACCCGGAAACAGTGTCCACCCGGCAGGCCTCCTGGGGGTGGGGGAGGGGCAAGCTCAGGCATTGCCCTTTGTGATTTCTGCATTGGGTCTGTGAGACACGGAGGGTTTGGTAGAAGGAGCAGGGCTTCAGGCAGCACAGGGGGCCCCCAGATCCTGCTGCTGTCAAGTTGAGGACCCTGAGGGAGATTGTGGGCCCTGGACCCCATAACTGTGTCCATTGGGCAGGCCTCCTGGGGGTGGGGGAGGGGTGATCTCACGCATTGTATTTGGTGTACGGAGCAGAGCCACAGGTCCGCTGAGAGAGAACAGACGGGACCCAGGACCCCACAATATAGGGGATCCCATAAAGGGCCTCCCCTGCTATGAGCCATGGGAGACCCCATGTTAGATGACCCTGTGAGGTGTGTCCTGACTTTCGCATGCAGGTCTGAGATACGCTGGGGCTCACTATAAGGAACACAGCGACAGGAGGATGGAGGGCACCCTGAATCCCACAACCAGGGGACCCCATAAACCCTACCCTGCTATCAGCCTTGGGATGTTCCCTGGTAAAAGACCAAGTGCCGAGTTTCCTGACCTCTGTATCCAGGACTGAGTGAGACTCAGGACTTGGTGAAAAGTGTAGGGAATCACACTTCTAGGAATATTTCCCTAAGAAACCGGAAATACCAATGAGAAAGAATGTATGCACCCCTATGTTCATAGCAGCACAATTTACAATAGCTAAGATGTGGAAACAGCCAGGTGCCCATCAATGACCTGATGAAAAAGCCGTGGTACATTTATGCCATGGAATACTATGCAGCTGTATAAAGGGAAGGGTCTCTTACCCTTTCAGACAGCATGGAGGGACCTGGAGAGTATCGTGCTAAGTGAAATAAGGCAGTCAGAGGAAGATAAATATCACATGATCACACTCATATGTGGAATTGAATATACAAAGTAAACTCATGAACCCAATAGATACAGACACATGCAAGCATGGGACAGATTAGGGAATCTCAGAGGGAAGGTGGGGAGGGTGGGAAGTAATCAACCAAGAACATTGTGTGCATATATGCATGGCCCATGGACACAGACATTTGGGTGGTGAGGGCGTGGCAAGCGGACAGGAGTGGGGTGGAGGGGGTCATTTGTAATCTATAATAATAAAAGCATTATATGCTAATTAGACGGGACACCCTTCTGGACGTCCTTCCTCAGGAAGCCAGGGCCAGAAACCAGAGCTGTGAAGGAAGCCCAGTTCTCAGGTGCCAGAGGGAAGCTGGTGCCGACATCCAGGGCAAGGAAGGCCTACTCTTGCATAAATTTCGTGCATCAAGCGTCTAGTTCTTTCAATAATAAAGAATTACTAAAAAATTAAATAATAAAAATAAAAAAAGCCAGATAGGGAATCAGGTCCACAGAGAAGAGGGCAGTAGTACTACCCAGACTCAAGTGGCATTTAATGCCTTCAAATCAGGGTCTGTGACACTGTGGGGTTTCGTACACAAACCAACCCCAGGGAGGCTGAGGAAGGACCCAGGACCTGCCAGGGTAACTGTGTGGACCCTGTGTCAGGACAATGGGGACCCAGGACTCCCAATGTAGAGGCTGCACAAAACCCTACCTTGCTCTCGGCCTTGGAAGGCCACAGGGCTGGTGACCCCATGGGGTGTCTCCTGATTACAGCATTCAGGTCTGAGGGAGACTGGAAACTTGATAAGAACTGTAGGGCCTCCCTCAGGTCCACAGAAGGGATGCAGAAGCACTGCCCAGAGTCAAGGTGCTTTTCTTGACTTTTGCATCCGGGTCTGACAGGCTCTGGGGTTCGGTGTAAGGAGCAGGATCTCAGGTGGGCAGAGGGAAGAGTCAAGGTGAGGACCCCCAGGGAGGACTGAGGGAATCCAGGAACCCTAACTGGAGGGGAGTCCACAGAAGTCTGCCCTGCTCAAAGTGTTGGGAGGCCCTATGGTGGATGACCATGCAGAGAGGAAGTACAGAAGCCCAAGCCTGATGTCAGCCCTTGGAATTCAGGGAAATGACATATGTGGCAGAGGACCGGACCCAGGTCTTGCCCCAAGTCCAGGTGAACAGGCAAAGGGAAGACTGAGGGATCCAGGACCCCACAACAGAGATGCCCCACATTACCCCTACTGTGAACCCTGGGAGGTCCCTGGTCCATGACCACATGCTCTCTTCCTGACTTGGCATCTCAGGTTGACAGAGAGGAGGTTCCAGCTCCAGCCAGGTGTCACGGTGAGGATCCTGCAGGAAGACAAGTGGACTCCACTCCCTGAGCTCTGAGGGGTCAGGCTCCAGGTAGGCAAAGAAGGGCTGCAGGGCTCTGCCAGGATACCAGGTAAGGACCCGAGTTAGGACTCAGGAAACCCCTAGCACACCTTGAAGTATGTTTGCCTGAGGCTTGGCCAGGGCCATAAGTGTCCACAGTGTCCCTCTTCCTGCCAGCTGCACCTGCAGGTCTCATGGTAGGCCTGTGGATTTGGGTTGCTTCCAGACTTCTACCTTAGGAGTGTCAAAGGGAGGTGAGGGCATTTTCCTGAAGGTGCTGGATTCAGGGCAACATGGGAGGTGTGCCAGGCAATGCTGGAAATTAAAGTGTGGGTCTTGAGGCAGGATGGTGGTACCTCCCACCCCAGTAAAAACAGGAACCAGCTGGCTTAGGCTCTGCTGGCACAACTTGGTCACTCGGCACGATAGTTAATGTGGTGTGTCTTGAAGTCCACCTTGGAGGTCACAGAGAGATGGTGGACATGGCCTGTAGTATTCATTCTCAGTTCAGCAGAAGGGAAAGGTCCCAGGCACTCTCTGAGTAAACCTGGGTAGCTCCGGGAGGAAGGAGGATACCACACTCCAGAAAATGGGTGCCCTGAACCCAGTCTGTGCTGCTGTCAGCCTTGGGAAAGGCCTGGCATGGGTCTGCAGAGGTGGTTCCTTCACAGGTTTGTCTAAGGGCACTCGGAAAGGACAGGGCCTTGGTCAGAGGGAATGGCTTCAGTTCATGCAAAGAGGAGCTGAGGTTGTGCAAGGGTCATAAAGGTGCGAATGCTTTCTTGTGGGAAACTGCAGCTATGTGCTCCTTGAGAAAAGTAGAGAACCCTCAGCATCAGGGAGTGTCCTGTCCTCAGCATCCAGATTTCCCAGGCAGGGGTACCTGGGTGTGACATGCTCTCCCTTTCCACATGCCTGCTCTTCCTGAGCTTTTCTCACTGAGGACAGTTATTCAGGGTGAAATCGGTTCAGCTGGATTCAGACCCAGGCCAGGCCAGGAAGAAAGGCAAGTATCCTTAGGCCAGACTAAGGGAACTCTGTACCCAGAGTGGATGGGCCCAGGCCCTAGTGTCAGTTGTGTGGGAACCTGGGCACGGGTGGGGTCAAATGGAGCTCCTGTTCACTATTGTCTGAGAACTTTCAGGAAGGTGAGGACCTTGGTGTGAGTCCACACGTTGTATCATCCCCAGGATCCAGATTTTGTCAGCAGAGAGAGGAGTCCCAGATCCTGCAAGGAATCAAGGTGAGCAATGAAGGGGAGCAGAGCACATGGGAAGCCAGACCTACCCTGCCTCCTCTGAAAGCAATGGGGAAACTCAGAATAATGCCTGGATTACCTCAGTTCACTTCCTACTCCTGTACCTCAGGGAGGTGAGGCCTAAGTCTAAGTAGATTGGGCTCAGTCAGCCTAGAGAGTGGTCTGAAACCCTGCAGTGCATCATGGTGAGAAATGATCAGAGCCTTAACCTAGGATAGATGGACCCAAATCTTCAGTAAACCCTTCTTGATCCTTTGGGAGAGGGACCACATGAGGAGCCAGCTCAGTTTCTTCACTGAAGTGTCAAGTGTGTGTAGCCTTGTTCTGAGCATTTGACCTCAGGCCAGCAGAAGGCAGTGACGGGCCAGGCCCTGGCAGGGGAAAGGTGGGTATCCTACGTGTGCACGGAGGAACCTCCCACCCACAACAGAGGGGACCTCACAGAGTCCTGCCGCTCCTCCTGTCAGCTTTGGGGTCCCAGGAATGTGCTTTCCATGTGCATGCTGAGGTGCCCCTTTGTTCCCTCCAGAAGAGGCCCCGGATTGGAGGAGGTGAAGGCCTTGGTCTACTCTACATATTCTCCGGTCACAGAACAGCAGGAGGCCAGGAAGTGCTAGGAATTAAGGTGAGGTGGCTACCATGAATATGTCCCCTTGAGCTCCCCACCCATGTCAGAGGGTCCTCACATTGCCTGACACCTCCACACGCCACCGTCAGCTACAGAACCCTGTGCTGTGCCTGCTATACCCTGAACAGTCATGTCACTTCCTACTTCAGGTTCTTAGTGGGCAGGCTGGTCAGGAGTGAGCCCTGTGAGTCCCATGTAAACCCCTAAAGGGGAGACCTGGAAGTCACCTTTGTCAGAGCCGCCTAGGGTGTGTTTCTCAGCTCATGCCTCTCACTCTCCCACTCTTCCCCAGGCCCGTGGTTCCTCATCGCCCATCTTCTGCTCACACTCAGTCACTGTTCGAGCACGAGTCATCATGCCTGGTCATCATATGAGTGAGCCGTTGAAGCCTGAGGAAGACTTTCCGTACCCAGTTGAGATCCCCAACTTGGTGGCGGGGGAGCTGTTCTGGGCTATGCAGGAGGAGGAGGTGGAGGAGGAGGAAGATGCCCTGTCTCTCTCCTCCTCCCCCTCAGTCCTGTTTATAGACAACCTAGAGGAGGTGTCTGCTGCTGAGACACCAAGTCCTCCCGAGAGTCCTCAGCGTGCCTGCCCCTCCCCCCAGGCCATGGAGGCCTTTCCATGCAGCCAATCTGAAGATGAGAGCTCCAGCATCCAAAATGAAGAGGGTCCAAACACTGAGGGAGCCCCTGAAGATGATGCCGATTTATTGCTCCACAAATCACTGCGTTCGAAGATGATGGAAATGGTGAAGTTCCTGCTCCTGAAGTATCGTACAAAGGAGCCAACCACAAAGGCAGAAATACTGAGTAGTGTCATCAAAGAGCACCAGGACCACTTTCCTGAGCTCTTCAGTGCGGCCGTTGAGTGCATTGAGTTGGTTTTTGGTGTTGTTGTGAGGGAAGTAGACCCCAGTACCCACACCTATGTCCTGGTCACTGCCTTGGGGCTAACCTATGATGGGATGGTGAGCGATGAGCACAGATTTCCCAACACAAGCCTCCTGGTCACACTTCTGTGTGTGATCGCCTCAGGGGGTGATTGTGCCACTGAGGAGAAAATCTGGGCTGTACTGAATGATTTAGGGGTGCATGATGGGAAGGTACATTGGCTCTATGGGGAGCCCAGGGAGCTCATCACCAAAGTTTGGGTGCAGGAACAGTACCTGGTGTACCGCCAGGTGCCCAATAGTGATCCTGCACGCTATGAGTTCCTGTGGGGCCCCAGGGCCCACGCTGAGACCACCACGGTGAAAGCCCTCAAGTTTATGCACACGGTTAATAGGGATTTCCATCTCCTCCCATCCCTACCTGAAGAGCCTGAGTGCAATGAGAAACACTATGCCTGACCCAGAGTTGCATCCAGGCACTTTTCAGGTCCATGTGCATTAACTTCTTTTGCTGGGCATAAAGTGCGTCCAATTTTCAACTCTGTTTCAGAACAAACCAGTAGTGAGGCCCAGGGAAAGGTTTAGGCTCCTATTGTGATTGAGAAATTTATGATTTATTATTTTGTGAATTTTTAAGGAAATTTTCTAATGTTCCTTTACGTAGAAGTTTTCATAAACTTTTAGCATGCAAGTTTGTAAATGACATTGATCACATATATATTTCTACATGTCCAGCTCAAGAGTAAGAGATTTGCTACTGTGTAATGAAAATTGGGACCATTCCCATCCTAGTTTGTGATCCCAATCTAGATAACATGACATTATAATAGAATTTCCTTGGAAATGTGTAAGAACTCAGCAGTAAAATCCATGGAGTTAAGAAATAGAAAAATAAAAGCAAAAGGTTGTTAATTTTTGCTTCTTATATCTTCTCATCTGTCTTTCCATGAAACAGCTTATCCAAGGATCCTTGTTTCTGGCAAGAAAGTGGGGGGATTTCATCTGAATAAAGACGACCCCTGCTCAGTGGTTCATTTAATCCCCAGACATTCACTGATCCTATGTCCTCTGGAAGGCCCTGTGTTAGTAGTGGGCACACTAACATAAGCAGGGCATATCCACCCATAGGATGATAGTGTAGGAGCTGAAGTCATATAAGGAAGGGGTTAGGTGTCTCCTTAATCCTACAAACCAGTAACAGAAGAGGTGAGGCGGTGGGCCTCCAGCGACCAGCACTCACTTGTGAGTGGACTTCATTTTTACCGCAGCGTACTTGCAACAGCATGGATGGAATTGGAGAGCATTATACTAAGCGAAATAACCTAGTCAGAGAACGGTAAATATCACATGATTTCACTCATATATGGAATATAATGACTGACATAAATGGATGAACAAAAACATATCCAAATACAGAGAAGCATTGATCAGACCATCAAACCTCAGAGGGAAGGTAGGGCAGAGTGGAGGTAAGGGGGGGAGATCAACCAAAGGACTTGTATGCAAGCATATAGGCCTAACCAATGGACACAGAGGCCAGGGGGTGAGGGCATGAGTGGGGGGTGGAGGAGGGCAATGTGGGGATAGGGACACATATGTAATACCTTAGTTAAAAAATGATGTGCATGGCCTGAGCCAGGGTACTTGGGAAACTGCGATTCCCTCTGCTGGGGTTGATTGTAAAGAAGCTGGGGGTGGCAGCTTTTTCTAATTTCATGCCATTGGTATCCGAGAAGATGGTTGTTATGATTTTAATCTTCTTGAAAACTTGTAGAGACTTGTTTTGTGTTTTAACATGTGGTCTATCTTTGAGAATAACACATGTGAACATCAGAAGAACGTATATTCTGCAGCTTTGGGGTGAAATATTCTGTAAATGTCATTTAAATTCACCTGAACCTGTCTGCCATTTAGAATCACTGTTTTCTTGGTAATTTTTTGTCTGGAACATCTATCCAGTGAAGTCTGTGGGCTATTAACGTCCCCTACTATTACTTTAATGCTGTTGATCTTTCCCTTAAAGTCCTCTATAAGTTTTTTTAATTTTCTTTATTTAGGTGCTCCTAAATAAATGGCATGAAATTAGAAATCAGTTACAGTAAAAACACTCAAAAATATTCAAACACATGGAGGCTAAATAGCATGTTACTAAACAACGAGTGACTTACTAATAAGATCAAAAAAGAAATAAAAAACTTCCTGGAAACAAAAAAAAGTAACACACAACAAATCAAAATCTATGGGACACAGCAAAGTAGTCCTGAGAGGGAAGTTCATAGCACTTACAAACCTACATCAAAAAACAAGAAAATATTTTAATAAAATATTTAACCATACAACTTAAAAATTAGAAAGAGAACAACAAGAAAAGCTCTGAGCAAGTAGGAGGAAGTAAATACATAAAAGTCAGAGCAGAAATTAATGACATACAGATGAAAAATATAATATAAACGATCAATGAAACCAAGAGTTAATTCTTTGAAAATATAAACAAGACTGATGAACCTTTAACCACATTCAAGAAACAGAGAGAAGACCCAAATAAGTAAAATCAGAAACAAAAGAAGTGAGGTAACAATTGACCCCACAGAAATACAAAGGATTGTAAGAAAATACTATGAAAATCTTTATGCCAATAAGCTGAACAATGTGGATTAAGTGGACAAATTCACAGAATTATACAATCTTCCAAAACTGAATCAGTGAGAATCCATCTTTCAATCTGGGGCTGCTGGCTATTAACCACTCACCTGCCCTCTGCCTGCGTGGTTGCACCTAACTGCTCACATGATGGCCTGATCTCCCCTAACCACTCGCCTGCCTGCCTAATTGCACCAACCATCTCTGCCTGCCTTCCTCATGACCCTTACCCACTTGCCTGCCTAACTGATAGCCCCTAATGACTCTGCCTGCCTGCCTCATTGCCCATAACTGCTCGCCTACCAGCCTGATCACCTGTAACTGCCTCTGCCCCAGCCCCCGCCACAGTGGCTTCCTCCAGAAGGACGCCGGGAATGAAGTCCAGAAGTTCATTCAGGGGTCTGGCCTAATTAGCATATTACACTTTTATTATTATAAATAGTACTGGAAGTCTCAGCCACAGCAGTCAGACAAGAGGAAGAAACAAAAGGCATCCAAATGGGAAAGGAGGAAGTAAAATTGTCATTATTTGCAGATGACATGATATTCTACATAGAAAACCCTAGGGCTCCACCAACCAACTACTGGGCTTAATAAATGACTTTAGCAATGTAGCAGGATACAAAATTAATACCCAGAACTAGATGGCAGCTTTACACACCAACAATGAACTCTCAGAAAGAGAAACTAAACTAAAAAAAAAAAACCCCACTTACCATTGAAACAAAAAATATAAGATACTGAGGAATAAAGTTAACCGAGGAGATAAAAGACTTGTACTCAGAAAACTACAGGACATTGAAAAAAGAGATAGGGGGTGATATACAGAAGTGGAAGAATATACCGTGTTCATGGATTGCTAGAATTAATATCATTAAAATGTCCATACCACCCAAAGCAATCTATAGATTAGATGCAAACCCTATTAAAATACCAATGGCGAGCAGGAAGAAGATGGCGGCGGTATAGGCAGACGCGTCCCAGGTCGTGTACCTGAGCAAATGGAGTGAGCAGCTGAAACTAGTAACATCCACCCTGAATTGGCGAAATTCCTCAGCTGGCGAGACGGTTTGCAGCCGGGAAGAGCAGAACTCCCCTGGAAAGGTAAAAAAAACCAGGGATTTGGGCAGGAAAGTTTGCCAGACCTCTGAGCCCAGAGAGTCGGAGGGAGACCGCGTGGCAGACAGCCGCGTCCCTTGGGACAGGCACAGCCCCTGACGGGGGAAAGGAGAACCGCAGGATTCCTGGCGCTGCCGGGGGAATTGAGAGCTGGGTCTGTGATCACAGAGGACTGAGCCTAAAGGGGGCAGCCTGAAGAGCTGACCAGACCATGCAGTCCCGGTAAGAGAAGAAGCTTACAGAAACCAAGCCTTCCCCGTTTACGCGGCCGGAGTTTGTTTGTTTGTTTTCCCTGAATCCTGTTCATGGGACATTTCGGATACAGACACTCACCTGTGCTGAAGAGAGGGAGAGTGTGCGGAGGAGTGGAATCTGGGGAGAGACTGAGGAGAGAAGGGGGGCAGGGAGAGGTGGCAGCGAATTGAGTGCTGAGACACCCCTGAGCCCAGGGCTGAGGCAGCCATTCTTTCCAGAGAGTGAGACTCCTCCCCCCAGCCCCCAGGCAAGGAGCACAGCCACACCCAGATTCCACCCTGTAGGAGATCAAGGATTAAAATAACCTGATCAGTCCCTGGGAGTTAACAGGGTCTGGCCTATAGAGGGATTTTCAATCCCAGCAACAACACAGCACTGGTAACTCTTACACAGCCAGCTCTGGGCAGTGAACTTCCACTGGACAGAGAGGCCCTATAGCCTCAGAGGCCAACCCCAGAACACTGCCACCCAGAGGCTGACCCACAAACTGACTCTTTGCTAAACACAAAATAAGGCAGTCTGGGAAACAAATGCGGCTTGCTTTAAAATAAGGACTGTGGTTTACAACACAGAGGAACAGTGTATCGCTGGGAAACTCAACACTCTCCTGAATACCTGGCAGGTCTAAGGCGAGCCACACTGAAGAATAGAAGAACTGAAGGACCTTCACTACTGCAATATTTTTTTTTTTTCATTTTTCACCTTTTAACTAAGAAACCAATTTTTTTTCTTTTTTTTTTGTTTTTTCTCTTTTTTTTTCTTTTCTTATTTTTTCCATCACCGGTTTTTACCCTTTTAATTACTACCTTCTTATTTTTAACCAGTATTATTACTGCTACCATTTTACCATTTTTTTTTAAAGTGCCATTTTATTTTCTCTTTATTTTATTTTGGGATTAGTGTTCTCCATTCTATTTTCATCGTTATATTATTGGTTGTTTCTAGTTTGCATTCATCTCCAGGGAGCTGTTGCTGGAATTTGTTGGGATTAATGGCTGTTCTATAGGAGTATTCTCCTCATATAAAAAAGTCTCTTCCCCTCTTCCACTTCATTCTCTCTTTTCGCTCTTTTTTTTTCTTTTCTTTTCTTTTCTCGCTTTTATTTTCCCCCCTCCTTTTTCCCAATTTCATTTTTGCACTCCTTTTTTTGGTCCCTAATTTTCTTTTCTTTTTTTCTCTTTTCTCTTTTTCTCTTCCTTCTTCCTTATCCCCTAATTCTCTTAATTCAGGTGGTCACCTTTATTTGGGGTTATTCATATTGTGAATATATTTGTGTATAGTGCCTGGTACGTGGTGCCTTGTTGTGTTGTATTTTGTGCCTTTAAATCAATGCAGCAGATCCAAGCAACAGCAACCTCCTGAGCACCACACCCTCTGCTGGCGAACAGCAGCTGTACGTGAAACCTTGCCCCACAAGCCAGAAGAGCCACCACAGCTGTGAACAG